AAACCCATTATAAACGAGGCATTTGTTGCATCCAGTGTGGACATAATTCCGGATTATAATGACTTGAACTGTCTTTTTACACGTTGCATCGCGCCACGTAAACATAAAACCATGTCTGCATTTGTGATCGGAGAAATGACAAACAACAAGCGCTACTCTACACTGCTCAAAACTCGCGTTTGAATCATCAAATTCTTTAAATATGAAAACGTACTTACAAACTGTGAGCCAGAACAGCCGGCATTGTAGTCTACTGTTCCAGGATCTGGAAACAGTCCTCCATAAAATGCACTGCACACATCTGAATATTTGGGTTGAACTGTTCTGGAACAGTGTTGTAGATACAACTTAACCACTGATTTCTAGTCGTGTCCTCTTTTGGAAGACCAAACAAAGTAGTTTCGCTTTCACAACGAAACACACAGCGTCACACACAGTGATCCGCAGAGCGAAGTTGATGTATTTCCTCAGCGACCAGCACGGATCAGCTCTAGGCATGACGAAGTGGATATCGTCCTCTTTTGGAAGGCCAAACAAAGTAGTTTCGCTTTCACAACGAAACACACAGCATCTTCACGACATGGCGGCAGCAACAATACTGCCGTGCAAAGGCAAAAGACCGTAACTTGGATTTTTGTCAAAAATTAGTTATTGGTATTTTTGGGACATTCAAGACATTATCATGTGCATAAGTATCTTGAGTCAATTCCGTTGTTTTTCCGAGAAAATAATGCGTAGTCTCAACCATAACTTCGAAAACCCCTGGAGAAACCATGGTAGAACACCGTATAACACCAGTTACGGCTCTTTCACTTTGTTTGGAACTCTCAAATTGAGTTACAGCATTCTGCCTTTGTTTAGCCGTGCATGAAAATGAAGTTACGGTGCCGGTTTGGAGTTATATGGTGTTCTGCCTTTTTTTTTTACTGTCCATTAAAGTCTGCCGCATTTTAATTACGGTGTAGACAAACAAATTAGATAGACTGCGATCTACCAAACAGCTCCACATAAAATCACTGTAAAGACTTGATACCTTGGCAGCAATACGTAATCGTGAATATGAATAACCTTTAAAGATTTTTTTTTCTTTTTGTAATTCAGGTTATTCACCAGGCTGTCACTTAATTGGATGCATGTGGACTCGAATGCCGTAGCTAGCATGAACAATCAAAATCAGTAGCCTACTAACAGTTCGCAATTAAATCCATATCCTACACTCTTAAAGGGGTCATATGATGTTGCTAAAAAGAACATTATTTTGTGTATTTGGTGTAATGAAATGTGTTTATGCGGTTTAAGGTTAAAAAAACACATTATTTTCCACATACTGTACATTATTGTTTCTCCTCTATCCCCCGCCTTTCTGAAACGCGTTTTACAAAGCTCATCGGTCTGAAAAAGCGAGGTGTGCTGTGATTGGCCCGCTATCCAGTGCGTTGTGATTGGCCGAATACCTCAAGCATGTGATGGAAATGTTACGCCCCTTACCACATTGTGAT